ACTACCAACTACCAACTACCAACTACCAACTACCAACTACCAACTACTAACTACTAACTACTAACTACTAACTACTACTACTACTACTACTACGACTACTACTACTACTACCACTACTACTACTACTACTACTACTACTACTACTACTACTAACTACTCACTACTAACTACTAACTACTAACTACTAACTACTCACTACTCACTACTCACTACTAACTACTAACTACTACTACTACTACTACTACTACTACTACTACGACTACTACTACTACTACGACGACTACTACTACTACCTACGACTACTACTACTACTACTACTACTACTACTACTACTACCTAGGACTACAACTACGACTACGACGACGACGACGACGACTACTACTACTACTACCTGGGACTACGACTACTACTACTACTACTACTACTACCTAGGACTACGACTACGACTACGACTACTACTACTACTACTACTACCTGGGACTACGACCCCATACAGAGTAAACTGAGGGCCAACCATTGCTACTATGTGATTGCTCAACAATGTTTTGTAGAAGCAGCGCACAAAGGGCAACTCAAGGGGGAAGCCAAGGCTATCCGAGCGCCGCGTGGTAGAAATGATAAAATCCCACCACAAGCTTTTTCCTTTCACACGGAAGTCCGTCATGTCCTAGTCGAGAACGGTATTCGGATTGTAGGGGAAGCTGCGTGGAGGAGTTGTCGACAGCTGCAAGTAGTCCACCTGCCAGAAACGGTCGTTAGCCTGCTGCACGGCGCCTTTAGCCGATGCCAGGTCCTACGAGTAGTGACAGCCCCTGGCTGCAAACATTTCGGCGCTAAGGTCTTTGAGGAGTGCTGCTCCCTAGCGCAAATAGGCACGACTCAATGCCCTGGCAATATACTAGCCCCCCAAGCACAATTGCGGCCTCGAGTGTTTCAAGGATGCACGGCCCTGCGTCACCTCAACTTGGGTATGTCAGGGTGTAGTCCTGCATATCCGAACCGATGCTTGCCCGACTGCTGCTTCCTGGAAGCAGGCATTGTCGCGCTCTTCCTGCCGCCAGATTTTAACAGGATAGGATCGGCCGCCTGTGTGAGCTGCCAGCAGCTGCAAACTGTTGATTTGTCCCAAACGGACGTCATTGAAATTTTGGGCTCAACCTTTGCACACTGCTCACAGCTGCAGCAACTCAGCCTTCCCCGAAACTTACGAATCATTGAGCAAGAAGCCTTTCTCAAGTGTACCTCGCTGCAAGAAGTCTGCATCCCACCATCCCTGCTTTACATTGCGCGGCGTGCTTTTGCAGGTTGCACGCAGCTTCGAGCAGTTCGTAGAAAAGGGAAAAGCAAGACATGGCGAGGTACATATGCCCGGCTCAATGCATTTGACAAATGTGAGCAACTAGACAAGCCCAAGTGGCTCCGATTCTTGCCGCCAAATGCCGAAGACCAATGGAGATAAGACTTTCAAGAAGCCATACCCTAGGCTGGCAACGCTCTGACGACAGTGGTGGTGCATTTCTCCTCCGCCGCTTCGATTATGCGTGCCAGGCTTAACAAAGCTCAAGCAGAGTCACCATTTCGTCCTCACCATCTACGATTCAGTGAGCCTACAGGAATGAGAGCCTTAGCTTCTCGTTCCCAAAAGGCGGGTGGTAGAGAATGGTAATGGAAGGCGGCCAGGGGGAACCTTGTGAAAACACGGAAGCGAGTGCGACCCTTTTGCGAATCCCGCTCTTGAGCCAAACATAACAGTCGGTTTGACTGTATGTCTGTTCGTCCTTCTCTTCTCTGAAGAGGTCTGACTGGTCACAGTCGTCCAAAACATACTAAAAGTACAAGAAAGCATCTCCAAACACTCTCAAGCAAAGCTAGGCTATACACAGCTCATCTCAAGCACTATAGCTCTATACTTAGGGCTTCTCTAGACATGCTCCTAGCCACTTCTGGTCACATTCCACTTAGTCCTGCTAAGGTGGTCAAAGCAAACACACTCCAAGGAGGAAGATCCCTACTCAGCTCCAACCCCAAGGACAGAAAACGAAAAAGTTCCACTACACAGAGGTACTAGGTGATCCACACACTGTACAGGCGTGCTACCCACACTTTTCACACCCCTTCTTGGGTCACCTCGTACCTTCTCCTGGTCTTCTTGTCTTCTTCTTCTCTTCAATTCGTTTTCTCTGAGCAACTAGGGTTCGAGCATCAACTAAGATCTCAACTCCTGTGGTCCAAACTGGTCTCCAGGTCGATCAAACGTCAACGAATCAAGAA